GCTGTGGAGCTCTGTTATATACTCAGACACATTACTGGGAGCATTATTGCTGTGGAGCTCTGTTATACACTCAGACACATTACTGGGAGTATTATTGCTGTGGAGCTCTGTTATACACTCAGACACATTACTGGGAGTATTATTGCTGTGGAGCTCTGTTATACACTCAGACACATTACTGGAAGTATTATTGCTGTGGAGCTCTGTTATACACTCAGACACATTACTGGGAGTATTATTGCTGTGGAGCTCTGTTATACACTCAGATACATTACTGGGAGTATTATTATTGTGGAGCTCTGTTATACACTCAGACACATTACTGGGAGTATTATTGCTGTGGAGCTCTGTTATACACTCAGACACATTACTGGGAGTATTATTGCTGTGGAGCTCTGTTATACACTCAGACACATTACTGGGAGTATTATTGCTGTGGAGCTCTGTTATACACTCAGACACATTACTGGGAGTATTATTGCTGTGGAGCTCTGTTATACACTCAGACACATTACTGGGAGTATTATTACTGTGGAGCTCTGTTATACACTCAGACACATTACTGGGAGTATTATTGTTGTGGAGCTCTGTTATACACTCAGACACATTACTGGGAGTATTATTGTTGTGGAGCTCTGTTATACACTCAGACACATTACTGGGAGAATTATTGCTGTGGAGCTCTGTTATACACTCAAACACATTACTGGGAGTATTATTATTGTGGAGCTCAGTTATACACTCAGACACATTACTGGGAGTATTATTGCTGTGGAGCTCTGTTATACACTCAGACACATTACTGGGAGTATTATTGCTGTGGAGCTCTGTTATACACTCAGACACATTACTGGGAGTATTATTGCTGTGGAGCTCTGTTATACACTCAGACACATTACTAGGAGTATTATTGCTGTGTGGAGTTCTGTTATACACTCAGACACATTACTGTGGGTATTATTGCTGTGGAGCTCTGTTATACATTCAGACACATTACTGGGAGTATTATTGCTGTGGATCTCTGTTATACACTCAGACACATTACTGGGAGTATTATTGCTGTGTGGAGTTCTGTTATACACTCAGGCACATTACTGTGGGTATTATTGCTGTGGAGCTCTGTTATACACTCAGACACATTACTGGGAGTATTATTGCTGTGGAACTCTGTTATACACTCAGACACACCAACAATATCCAAGCTACATTTTACATTAGCCAGCCAGCCAGCCAGTTTTCTATTCAAGTTTTGTTCCCACCTCAATGGGGGGTGGGGAGGAGACAAGAATCGAGTTACAAAGCTGTTTTGGAACTGGGAAAACAAACTTGAAGAGAAAAAAAGAATCTAGACTGTGGTTTGTAAGAAAAATAAAGTTTTCAAATCACAAAGACTGTACAAGACTATTTTCTATAACTGAGACAAAAAGCACAAGATACAACGTGAATTCTAGAAGCAAGCACGTGGCAGAGATTGGCAAGTGTCCAGAATCAAGCCCAAAACTGCGCAGCTGTGTGGATGAATCAACGAAATAGACAGAAATAACTGATCTGGTAAAGCGTGACAGATCCTTGTGGCAATAAATCAGGAAAGAATTCCTTTAGTCAACTGGACATCGTCTGTTGGAAAGAGACTTTTCATCTGATCTGCAAACTGTGATGGAAGATTCTACAGAGTTCATTCGATACAGAAGATTAACAGACTTACAAAGAAATAAAAGATTGACACTAACATGAATATCAATTCCTAAATAGTAACGAAGAAAACAGACAATAAAAGAAGAAAACAGACAATGAAAAGTTATTTAACAGTTATGAGTATTAATACCAAAAGAGACTACTTATAGCTATATAACACATGGAGTACAATTACGAAAGGATAGTATTATGAAGAGAACTATTATATTCTGATCTATACATACAATGAGAAGTATCAGAGGTAGATAGAATATGAAGTTGATAAAATAAGGATCATGGTTACTTAATACCACAAAGATTGAGTTCAATAGTATTTCATAGATTCACTAGAATTAATATTTTGTTTATAATCGAGGTGAAGTAAAACAAACAATGGTAAAATAAGGAAGAAAACTAAGGAAGGATAATTTATTTTGATTAATATTAAGTAATGGTATACATTAAGAATGCCTTGGATATAAGAGTTCAGAGATCCAAGAGGAATTGAATTGAATTGAGTTTAGTACACAATTGTATTTGACCTAAGTCTATAAAGGTATGGACTAGGGAGAATAGGTTTCTGGATATGGTGATATCCAATGAATACGTTGTTATAAGTTGTTTTATGATTTCCCTGAGTTTGTTAGATACAGACTAGGAATAAGTTTCTGGGCAGTATGACCCCAAGTTTATTTTATTTTATTTTATAGTCAGTTGAAGTGTACTAAGGAATACGGATTGGTCAGAACAAATGTTAAGGTAGCATTAGGGCAATCCTACTTTTAGGTTGAGATATATTACATTAACAAGTCATCACAATGCTAATGAAGAGAGTGATGATAATGAATTTAAATTATTATTTGCAAGCTATTTTAAAGTAAACTATGTTCTGTGGAATGAAAAGTGTGTTACTACAAGGTGGAATCTTAGTGAAAATTATAGTTATGTAAACAAAAACAAATCTATGATAGAAAGATTTTAGTATTGTCAACACCAGGAACATTATTTGAAGAATTATTATAGAACGTCATGGTTGATAACACATCCTTTGAATGAGTCTTATAAGTAGTGTTGGTATATTTCAGGTAGTGAGAGCCTACTGAATATACAAATTAAATAATATGATTGTAAAGTATTGATACAATTATCACTAGGTGGCATTAATGGTATAGGAATGTAATTCATGAATGCAAATGACCTAAAGATTTTAAGGTTGCTAGAAACCATATAAATTCATGGAAATATAATTGGACAGGATATTATAGTAATACATGTATTAGTACTTAAGTAATATCAGGTATTGAGAATGAAAATACTATGCTATATGTGTCTGTAGGAGTATGATAGTGATACACAGTTATTATTATTATTTAGAAAGTTACGATCTTGATTTTGTTGTCTACAAAGACATGACTGTACCAGAGCAGGTAGATCTTTCTGATTGCTTTATTGTTTATTGGATCAACATTTGTAAATATTTTATTTTATTCATTTATTATTGTTATATATGTATATATTATGTTCAAATAGTTATGATGTAACATTGGTATGGATATAAATACATAGCTGAAACAGAGGGCATTTGAAGTAAAGTAAGCAGTATGAGGGATAGAAACTCGACCTTCCAAGAACTCTCATATAATAGAAAGTTGTGACTACATCTTGTGATGTCAAAGTCCTTTCCAATCAGGAGGGCAAAGGGGGCACAGATGTCCCCAGGATGCCAAAGCTCCAAGCTGTCTGATGCATGGCATTACCAGGAAGAGACCAATTACTGAGATAAAGGAATTGAAATTCACTTTGAATAATCCATTCAATATTTCCCCTACTGGACAATTTTAAGACATGTCAAATAAATGTTTATATCTGTTTAAAATGAAGCAGTTATTGTCCTGTGAGTGCTCTTTTCAACATTGGTGCATTTTCAATTTTATTTGTTGTTTTTTTTTGCTTGTATACCTGCGCACTATGCTACCACAATGTATTACAGGAACCATGGTTTTGTGGGGTGAAAATAAATGATTGGCTTTAGGCACGTCTTGCTAGAACCATAGTTCTTGTTGTTTTGGGAAACTTTACTTTTAATAAGCTCTGCCCTTAAACCGTAAATTCCAAGTAAATTTTAAATTCATGGCCAAAATGAGTCGAATTCTCTAAGTCAGCTATGCTTCCAGAACTGCTGCTTTGGCCTTAAATTTGGAATTCACCTTAATTTAACTTTTTTTAAAACTCATATTATCCTATTGAGACTAAGCATCTTCTTGGAAAGGAGATCCTTACGGAAAAACAGCAGAATGTTCTCTGGGGTGTAATTTATTCAATTTAGTGAATGCCTTCTCGTTTACCCTCCCTGGTGTACCTTCTAAATTCAGTTTGTATGTTACACCTTGGTCAGTGACGCACTCTGTGTTCTTCGAATACTCTGTCCGTGCTATATATTTTTTCCATCTCTGCTGGAAGATCACTTAGTGCGTGTAACGGCTTTATGAAACTATTTCCTGATGTTGTGGTAGAAGAAAGGTTTATTAATAGGTTACATTTGAATGGTTAAAATTTCCAGATAAAATAGTTTTGAAAAATTGTAGTTTGTTTTGCCCAATTTGACATGAATAAAAGGGAGCCCTGGCTTCTTCAATTTCTTTGCATCTTCTTTGCCTCCCTGTAAAAACAGGGCATTATCTTGCCGCTCTTCACTTTTGTACATTCCCGCTGTTCTAACATTGTTATAGTGTCTCCAGTCAAGATACCTCATCAAACAAGCAGTTACTCTGTTAAACAAGCAGATTTCCCATTAACGGCTGATCTGCTAAAAAAAAATTATTATTTTTTTAATTTACTAGGACGCTGTAACGTACTTCCTTCCTGCATCACTTTTGACTGTGGCAACACTTGAGTCAATCTTGTCACTAGTTGACCTCATGAGTCCTTGGTGACGCCAAGCGTCATTCTGGCGTTGAGTGTATACCCAAAACTGCGCACAAACTGTTTATTGGATGTTCTATTCACTGACCGTGGCTTTGTTAGACTATTCTCGATCCCTGTATTCCTGACTTTGGCTTGTTTTTGAATTTCTAGACCTTGACTTATTTTACAGTTACTCTTTGACTGCTTGCAGACACTCTGTTTGTCTGTCTTTGGCACAAGTTTCCATCCTGCCTCCATTAGGTTTGCGTGTTGGGGGTAAGGCTAGTCCTGAAAAAAACTCTTGGCAAGCTGTAATAATCATACACCCAGGATCTATCCATAACCAGTGTACAAAGTTCCAAACAAGGTGGCCACATCCAAATGTTAATCAGGGCATAATAATAAAGAGACAACCAGACTGGATGGAAATCCGTACGCCAGCAAAACCTATAGATCAGATCACAGTAGAAACCATAAAATCTCCTTACACCCAGAAATCAGTGGAACCGGAGAGAGAGGTGCAAGTTCTTTTAATACTTCATTAATGCACCCGATCCTAACAGGGTTATGTAGATAAAAATATCAATTTAAAGCACACTAATAATATGCACATCTTCATAGACATCCTCTGATTTGTATTCAGATTCTGAAAAGGAAAGGAGGGCTCTCAGGACCAATGTATATCCAAAGCTGAGGGAACACTGTCGACACTTCCATGGGCTAGACTTCCAGGTACGTAATCCCTGTTATCAAAAAATATTCAGGTAAGAAACGTCATTAAAAGTGAAGGCAGCTGTGTCCTCACCCATGTGATCCATACATCCTTTACAATATAACCGACTATCTGGAAATTAGAATGCTCAATGCTTGTTAGAACATCAATAGTACCTACACAAAACACAAAGCGATAGATGTATTTAGTTTAAACACATATTAACACTGAGCCAACACTGAGCCAAGAGATATCAACCTAGACTGAAGCAGTCCACGTCACATTCAAAAGACTTTTGTCAAGATGTGATATTATAAGGCAAAAATATTTTCTTTAAGAGAGACAACTACTTAAATTATCAAAGTGCATTCCAGAATTATTATTTTTTGAAATTATATATATATATAGTGATGTCCCCAACTGTTCGCCGAACGGTTCGCCACGGTTTGCCGCGGACTCCAGTCAGCTGACACATTCCAGCCAATCAGCAGCAGACCATCCCTCCCAGACCCTCCCACCTCTTGGACAGCTTACTAATAATGCAGCTTCAAAATGGATGCTGTCCAGGAGGTGGGAGGGTCTGAGATGGAGGGTCTGCTGCTAATTGGCTGGAATGTGTCAGCTGACTGGAGTCCGCGGCAAACCGTTCATGGCGAACAGTTCGGCACATCACTATATATATATTTTTTATGTATAAAGATAGCTTCTTAATTTAATACCTGCTCTAGCGATAAGAGCTTTGGGTCTTTGTGGTGAGATATAATTAAAGGGTTGCTCCAAGCACCATTACACCTTAAGTGATTTGAAGTGGTCATGGTGTCTGCAATCTGCATGTTCATTGTTTCGCTTTGAAATGAATCCCTCTCTATATCTCTATAAATAAACAACTTACTGGGAATCCAGCACTGGGTGAATTTCTCCTCTCTGCCTTCCAATCCCCGTGCTGACACAGTTTACCTCTCTGACGTCGAATCAAATGCTTCTCATAGTGAGGCATTTCATTGGACTAATCTCCAGGAGTGCAAGTGCACGCTCTGAGCCGAGAAAGTAAAAAAAAAAAAAAAGAGTAAAAAAATCAGAATGCAGGAGGTGCTGGGAATGAGGTAGGGAGTTTTCAGAGGGGCACACTCGTGTCCCCTTGCAGACGCACCCACATCGCTACCTTCAATGGTAGGAGCTGATAACAATGGCATGCAGTGCGCACTGACAACAGATGTCATTTTATCTCAGGTTCCTTCTTTCTGCCGGCATTATTAGCTTGTTTGTGCACCCATCGCCCAGTTACAGGCGCTCTCTGAGTGTATGATATGTATTTTAATAGGTGCTGGATGGATATGAGGGCGTTCTTCCGGAACATTACTATAGCGCCAGTGTTCGAAAATCCCGTATGCGGCTCCTTGAGAAATGCTTGCGATCACCAACTGGTCCCTGCTTTGTGGTAAGTTTGCTAATGAGGAGGCAGAAGTTGAATAGACGCACATTTTAAAGCATTATGGGGATAGTACATTAAAAATAAATGCAGATAAATTAAAACGAATCCAATCCTGTCTCTGTACCGATTACAAAGTACGGTATACATAAAAGAAATATAGTGTAACAAAAAGAAAACAACATGTGTTATCAAGCGCAACTTGTTATATGTAGTCTTTCGAGGTTAGACAAATCTCTTCATATCATAACAGCCTAGTTCATTGGATAGTTCATTGGATGTGAACCAGTTATCTAGGTAACTGTATTTATTTTTGTTCTAAGTTCTAAACATTTTTATTTTGTTTTGTTATGGTCTTTTAGGTCATTATCGACAACTTGATAAAAATTCTGGGCAAGGTGTTATAGGGACAATCCAGCCTTCTAATACACTTTAGCTTGCTGAAATACTTTATGTGTGAAGAGTGTGTTTTTTTTTTTTTCATTTTACAAAAAATGCAGATTTCAATAGAAATGTTATAAGTTAAAGGGAAACTCCAGTGCCAGGAAAACAATCTGTTTACCTGGCTCTGCAGGTCCCCTCTCCCTCCCACCCCCAATCCCCAGTTGCTGAAGGGGTGGAAATGTCCCACATCGCTGCTTCTTCTTCCGCCGCCACTCCTCCCAGTGATTACATTGGCCGGTGGGTGAGACTGATCCTGCCCACCGGCCTGGGAGACCTAATGCGCATGCTCGGCAATGCCGCGCATGTGAATTAGAGCTCCCCATAGGAAAGCATTGAAAATGCTTTTCAATGCTTTCCTATGGGGAAATGAGCAATGCTGGAGGTCCTCACACAGCGTGAGGACGTCCAGCGACGCTCTAGCACAGGTTTTCTGTGCTATGATGCAGGAAGTGGCCTCTAGTTGCTGTCTAGAAGACAGCCACTAGAAGTGGAGTTAACCCTGCAAGGTAATTATTGCAGTTTATGAAAAACTGCAATAATTACAGTTGCAGGGTTAAGAGTAGTTGGAGATGGCACCCAGACCACTCCAATGAGCAGAAGTGGTCTGGGTGCCTGGCGTGTCCCTTTAACCCTATTACACCCCCTATCCCCACCCCCAACCCCTGGATGTCAATCAGACAACCGATCCTGTTACTTCCTGGTTTGGTTCAAACAATGGAACTAAACTCAGGAGGCAGCAATCGCTCAGAGCACCTGCCTTGCAAAGACTTCTCATTGACTTGCATTGGACAAGAAGTCTTGCATGGTTTGCAAAAGCTCCAGACAAGAGCTCTTCAGCTTTTGTAGGCTGTGCTTAGATATACCCTAATGTAAAAATACATAGTTAATTGCAATTATGCTTTTATTGGGGGTAAATCTACTAAGCATTGATTTTCTTTATTAATATGTTTTGGGGATTTGGGCAGCAAAGATTACACTTCGCACTTTTCCCTTCAGCAATTTGACTTTATAACTATTTTGCCTATTTTGGTATCAGAACTGTCAAGGGCTCATTTATACAGGAATCATCTTTTTCTGTTTGCTCAAAATTAAAGAATTATTAAGCAAGAAAGGCGCATTCTTTTTTATACATTGATGAAAAGGGAAGAATGTAAAAGTTGCTTATTTGTAATAGAAAACCTCTAACCCGAGATGTTAATGGCATGGAAAACGTTTGTGCTTTTTTAATACAATGGAAGCAATACAAAACAAACAAGTAATATAATACAAATAAGGAAACGGCGCAGTGAGGGATGTTTCACTGCAAATAATAGAATAAGTAGACGTGAATAGGAACAAGAAACTCCATAGAACGTACAGTATGTGTGTTCCAGAATTACAGGGACACTGTAGGCACCATAACCACTTCACCTTATTGAAGTGGTTATAGTGTCTGGAGTTTAAAAAAGTTTCATAATGTATAGTACTGACTTTCTCCTTACTATCACAAAATGCAACTAGGATAAATCCATCGTATTTGCACTTTTTTAAAGTTATTTTCATGCCAAAAGAGATGCAAAGCGATCATTTTTGTGTTTGATAATAAATGCCAGTAATAAAGAATTGCTGAATTGTCCTCCAAGGCCTTTATAGGGGAAGAATATGGTGAACCCTGCCTTCCGGCTCAGATCGAGTGCGATGAGTTTGAGAACGTCCTGAATACAGCTGCAGAAAATGAGCTTTGCACAATGTGTCTGGAACGTTGGTATCTGCGGGATGAAAACGCCATCCCACCAGTTTATAGCCTGCTTGATAAAGAGGAAGACCTTCCACATATTAGGATGAAGGTAAAATTGAAATGGTTATTCACTAAGTGAGAATTCTAAGAGAATTTTACATTTAAGGCAAGAATAGCCAGACTGAAAGCATTGCTGACTTAGAGAAATTTCAGTTCGGTTATTTTGGGTTTAAATTTGAAATTCACTTTGAATTCTCACTAGTGAATAACTCTGTGTATCATGTTGCTAATGTTTATATAAGGTGAATCACGTATTTAAATTCCAAAGTGAAACCCTGCTCAGATATTTGTGTTCAGTTTATGAATCAAAGAAACATAGAATGTGACGGCAGATAAGAACCATTCGGCCCATCTAGTCTGCCCAATTTTCTAAATACTTTCATTAGTCCCTAGCCTTATCTTATAGTTGGGATAGCCTTATGCCTATCCCACGCATGCTTAAACTCCTTTACTGTGTTAACCTCTACCACTTCAGCTGGAAGGCTATTCCATGCATCCACTACCCTCTCAGTAAAGTAATACTTCCTGATATTATTTTTAAACCTTTGTCCCTCTAATTTAAGACTATGTCCTCTTGTTGTGGTAGTTTTTCTTCTTTTAAATATAGTCTCCTCCTTTACTGTGTTGATTCCCTTTATGTATTTAAATGTTTCTATCATATCCCCCCGTCTCGTCTTTCCTCCAAGCTATACATGTTAAGATCCTTTAACCTTTCCTGGTTCGTTTTATTCTGTTATCCATGAACCAGTTTAGTAGCCCTTCTCTGAACTCTCTCCAAAGTATCAATATCCTTCTGGAGATACGGTCTCCAGTACTGCGTACAATACTCCAAGTGAGTGTGTTCTGTACAAGATCCCTGAGGTACCCCACTGGTAACTAGACCTTGCTTTGAATATACTTCATTGACTACAACCCTCTGTTGCCTGTCATTCAGCCACTGCCTTACCCATTCAACAATATTGGAATCCAAACTTAAAGATTGCAATCCTCTACACAGAGCACCAATGCATGGGTGGCACCAGCCAGTCTCACATCCCACCGCACACAGAGCACTACTGCATGGGAGGCACCAGCCAGTCTCACATCCCACCGCACACAGAGCACCAATGCATGGGTGGCACCAGCCAGTCTCACATCCCACCGCACACAGAGCACCAATGCACGGGTGGCACCAGCCAGTCTCACATCCCACCACACACAGAGCACATGGGTGGCACCAACCAGTCTCACATCCCACCTCACAATTTTCCTGCTTGTTAGAGTGCCCTACCTACTTCACTCAGAACACCTCCACAAATGGGTCACTTTCCTGTCTCACACATAGCTGAATAGGAACTTTGTAGGACAACCTCATAACCCATCACATAAAAACTTGGGGATACCAATCAGACTTGCAAAAGTCAAAGAAAGAAAATGGGGGGACGGGGAGCAAACTCTGAGAATTCCACAGATATGATGTTATGTGAAATTATAATACATTTATTTAAAAAAAAAAACTGCCAATGTAAACAATAATCAAACTGTCAAAAAACTATTTCCAGTCAATTGCCCTTCTAATTAAATAAACTGCCCACTGTTTGAGTGTTACATAGGCTGAAAGTCTATATTGGCAAACAGTAACAAGTTTCAGTCAGGATCACAAAACTAATCAATACAATTACAATGTTATCACACAGGGTTCACTGAGTGCAGTGTGCATTCTGTGCCTTGTCATAAAATAACAGTAACAGTCATGATTTTCAAATGAAAGTTCACAAAAGAGAAAGAAAGTGAGAAAAATTAATGAATAAAATAAGAAAATAAGAAAAATAAGTAAAATGAGAAATGTCTGTCCAACATATTCCAGCGTCCGAAGCTGGGGTGAGGTAGGCACAAGTCAAGTACAGGGATGCTCTTTGGAGGGTTTGATGATCAAAGAATCCAAAGAATGCCACAATATATAAAATAATCAACCATAGAACAATCTAACCTCACCAGTCCATACGTGATACGAGGGTGTAGCGGAACACGTATGGTATTTAGAGTGATACCAGAAAGTCTCGGGTATTGTCTGCTGTGACTAAAACCTCACGGGAGGCAGGCGGACTGCACACTTTGAAGATTCCTTGCTTAAAGGGTATACTGTTGTTACTATAACATTTTAATCTCATTGTATTAATTATAGTATCAGGAGTCCCCTAGCTCTGTCCTTCCAGTGGTAAACCATTTTTGAGCAGTTTAACACTAAATTAAGGCTCGCGGACACTCACGGGCCGGCCCCTACTGGAGGTGTGGCTAAGGCAGAGATTATATACTTCCTTCTAGACATAATTATTTATACCAACAATGGGATCTGTGATACTCTCAGCCAATCCCTGCCACCCACTGCATTAACCCAAGCAGCTTAGAGGGAATGGGCTCCTGGGACTCTAGTTTAGCGTTAAATCATTATAGTGAGTTTTACATTGAATGGAAGGACAGTGCCAGGGGACCCAGACACTATAACCACTTCAATTAGATGAAGCAGTTACAGTGCCTAAAATGTCCCTTTAATTTAAAGGCCCTAAAGCTGTGCTTCATATTTTGGAGGCAATCGAGGGACACTCCAGGGACCATTAGCACCTCACTCTTTGAGGAGTGCCGGTTCACACTATCAGGGTTACTCACTACAGTGAGAACTCAAGGTGAATTCAAAATAAATAAAAAATTTCAAGTCGAAATAGCTCAACTGGAAAATCCTCAAGTCAGCTATGCTTTTTGTTTGGCCACCCTGGCCTCAAATTTGAAATCCCCTTTGAATTCAATTTTAATTTTTTCTTTAGTAAATAGCCTTGTATAACGTTTCATTGTTCTGTATAATGACAGATTTTGCCGCTTACGTCAAAACAGTTACAATTCTTTTAGGGCCCAGATTGAGGCCGTTACGTTATCAGTGATATTTTGACTCTTTCACTTTGAAGGAGGGAGCTGGGCCTCGGGGCCTCGGTCAGGACTGGTTCTATGATGCTTCCCATGAAATGATGAAGATCTTCCATACGGTGGTACCTCTGTGTGTGCAGGCGGGGAGTATGAAACCCAAGCAAGCTGATAAATATTTCAATTCAGGTGATTTCATACAGTGCTGAAATGTGGTAAATTGACAATTTATGAAAAATCGCCTCATCATTCTTTGTTATCGATTTTATTAACCGACACGGTGTACTGGGCAATAGCAGGTCCATTTCTCTACCATTCTTCCATCTCCACCTATGTTACCAGTTAGTGGATAAGCATTTACACTCAGGGCTGGTGCCAACTATAGGCGATGTAGGCGCTGGCCTAGGGCGCACGTTTGGAAGGGGATCCATGCGCACGCACAATGCTTGTAGAAGTGCCGCGGTGCGCAGCACGAAGGATAGAGGCGTGGGCGCCAAGAGTGCCTTCAATTTGTATTGCAGCATCCCGGGAGTGCAGAAATGGAACTGGATTCCCCAAGGAAGGTAAGCCTCAGGGAGGGAGAAGAAACATTTTTTATACAAAAAAAAGTAAATATGTATATATTTTTTTTAACATAGTCCTAACCCCCACTACTGCCCCTAACTCCGTACTCTTTCCACCCTTACCACCCACTATTACAGCTAACTCCCCACTATTGCCCCTAACCACCCACTACTGCCCCTAACCCTCTACTATTGCCCCTAGCCCCCCAACACCACACCTAACCCCTATTATTGCCCCTAACCACCCACTAATGCCCCTAACCACCCACTATTGCCCCTAATCCCCTTTTATTGACCCTAACCACCCACTACTGCCCCTAACCCCACAGTATTGGTCATAACCCTCTACTACTGTCACTAACCCCATACTATTGCCCCTAACATCCCTACTACTGACCCTAACCCCACACTACTGACCCTAACCACCCACTACAGATCCTAACCCCATTGCAGGTCCTAACCCCCTACTATTGTCCCTAGCCACCCATTGCAGGTCCTAACCCCCCATAACTGACCCTAATCCCCCACTGCCAGTCCTAAACCCCTACCCCTGACCCCACTGCAGGTCCTAACATACCACTTTAGCCCATAACCCCTCACTTCAGCTTCTAACCCCTTATTTAATCCTCTAAACACTCACTACACCACCACTGTCCCTAACCCCCACTACCACCCCTAACATCCACTACCTCGCCTAACATCCATTACCGCGCCCAACATCCACTACCGCCCCTATCATCCACTACCACACCTAACATCCACTACCTCACCTAACATCCACTATCTCACCTAACATCCACTACCGCCCCTAACATCCACTACCTTGCCTTACATTCACTACCACCACTAACATCCACTACCGCCCCTATCCATTATACTACAGCCCCTTACCTTAACTGCTGCCTTTAAACCCTCACTCCACACCTAAACTCTGAGGGGGAGATAACTTGAATCTCCCTTCTCATCTTGTACTAAATGGATATTCCACTACTTCCTACATACATTTCCCGCACATCACACATTACCAACACTCAGAGCGGCCCAAACGTATCACTCACAGCTTCTCACACTGCCATACATACCGCTCACAGCGACCCACACGCAGACACTGACAGCTATACACGCATTACACAGTCTTATACATCACGCACAGGAAGCCATACACTTCAGACATAGCTACAAAAAACTTTCCACCACCCTACACAACCCACACCGCACATCCGCTCAACATTTTAAAAAATTTTCACATTACATTACAGAATAAAAAAAAACAACATATTACACCCTAATAAAATGTGCTGCACATGTGGCGGCTTTACTGGAGTCTGGGCAAATAAGAAGCAGTCCCTCATTATATGGGCAGATTATATGGGTAGGACATTGTGATGTCACTACATGGGGGGAGAGGGGACGGCAAACTTTTTTTTTTGCCTAAGGCGGCAAAAATCCCTGCACCGGCCCTGTTTATACTGTATCAGACTTTAGGTAGGGATGGATCCAGGACGTGGTCTGTGTGTGAAAGCAGTTGGTTTGGAAGTGAGAGGATATAAAAAAGGGCAGAACCCAGTGAAGATAAAGAGATAAAGACTTGGGATATTGGGGGGGTTCTGAAGGCATGGACTATGAGTGAAATAGCAGGTTTTTAGGGGGGGAGTTGAATTAATTATTTGAAATGAATAGCTTTATTTTTTGTAAGAAAAACAATGAATTGGCCTGTACATCGCCACAATGCCTATTGTTTTTGTTCCTTTAAAAAGTAAACCAATTCTAGTTAACTCATTCATGACAGACAAGAGAGCCAGGCTATTGCTAAATGACAGAACTTGGCTAACTTAGTGTCATAAAGAGTTCAATACCGTCCCTTTAAAAGCTCTGCGTGGCAGTAACACTGTTGGCAAACTGCAGGCTATCTATCGCCACCTGGTGGCAGCTAAGTGTCACTGCCAAACTGCAGATACTTTCAGATCATTGACTTATACCTGCAAAGCAATTTCTGCCATTCACATATTTCCTTTGGTGAGATATTGTAAGTGTTTCAATGCTGCATAGCAGCTCTCTTTCTGCCAGTGTGAAATTAACGACGGGTGCGGGACAATGATTATTTTTTACATTAAAGTGATCTGGTGCCTGAATAATTTGGAAATATAAAAGGGAAGTGGGTTTGCACCTACAGTTCATGGAGTGTTCCCCGACATACTCTCCGTGATCACACTGGTGGTAAATGCTAATATCATGCAGCCGGTGAGGTGCAAGGATTTAAATGAATCTGTTGTACAGAGCTACATTGTATGATGATTCTTTATTAATGGGGGAAGAATTACAATGTATGTTTAAAATGGGCAGAAATACAATGTTTTTTAACATATTTTATGTTATTAAATAATTGAGGTCAGACAAGTTTGAACACCTGAACATGGCTTTTTCTTGTATAAGATATTCTACAAATGCCCAATTTGATTAAAGGAACACTGTATAACCCAAAGGCACTTCAGCTTGCTTCAGGAGCTAATAGAGATTCTCCTCTTATGTTGTAAATGTGCTGATTTCAAAAGAAATTGGCACTTTTATAAATGATCCCTCTCAGCTGTCAATCATACAGACGCAGGGCTGCTGCTAGCGGGCATATAGACCAGGAGCTTTAGCCCAGGGGCAAATATCACGGCCCCGTCCATCTTTGTTATTTAAAACCCTGATTTGTGTATGTGAAATCATTATTATAATTACAGTAGGTCAGTAGAAGAAATTACTGAATCTGATTGTCGCAGCGTGGCGTTTTGCCATGCATGCGCAATAGTCTTCCCATAGGAAGGCATTGGATTGGCTGAGATCATCAAGTTTGACAGAGCCTGCAACGGCGACCCCGGCATGGTGTGGGAGAAAAAGTTACATTTAAACACCTTTTTAAGACAATGCAAGGGTGGGCCAGGACCTAAATAGTCGGTTTAATACTAGAGTGTCAGGAATAAATGTTTGTGTTCTTGGCACTAGTGATGTACCGAACGGTTCGCCGGCGAACGGTTCCCGGCGAACATAGCATGTTCGCGTTCGCCACGGCGGGCGAATATATGCGCGGTTCGACCCGCCCCCTATTCGTCATCATTGAGTAAACTTTGACCCTGTACCTCACAGTCAGCAGACACATTCCAGCCAATTAGCAGCACACCCTCCCTAGCAGATCCTCCCACCTCCTGGAAGGCATCCATTTTAGATTCATTCTCAAGCTGCATGCTTAGTAAGAGGAGGGAAAGTGTAGCTGCTGTTCATAAGATAGGGAAAAGCATAGCTAGGTTAGGGATAAGGGTATGCTTTTTTTTGATTTTTTTTTTATATGTAATGTAAATGCACTTAGTTGTCTGCCACTGCTGCCAGCTTCTGTGTCAGGCTCACAGTGCCCATTTCCCAGTCAGTGCCACCAATTACATCTGGTGTCACAATAGCTTGGATTTAAAAACAAAAAACTTTTTTCACTGTTATAGATTGAATAGCAGTCAGTTGTCTGCCACTGCTGCCAGCTTCTGTGTCAGGCTCACAGTGCATACTGTGCCCATTTCCCCAGTCAGTGCCACCAATTACATCTGGTGTCACAATAGCTTGGATTTAAAAACAAAAAACTTTTTTCACTGTTATAGATTGAATAGCAGTCAGTTGTCTGCCACTGCTGCCAGCTTCTGTGTCAGGCTCACAGTGCATACTGTGCCCATTTCCCCAGTCAGTGCCACCACTACATCGCTGGTGTCACAATAGCTTGGATTTAAAAACAAAAAACTTTTTTCACTGTTATAGATTGAATAGCAGTCAGTGTCCTTAAAGCGGTGTGTTACGCTAACAGTGGATACGGTGACCAGTGCCACCACTTAGATCTGGTGACACAAAGCTTGTATTTAAAAAAAAACACTTTTTTCACTGTTATAGATTGAATAGCAGTCAGTGTCCTTAAAGCGGGTGTGTTACGCTAACAGTGGATACGGTGACCATTGCCACCACTTAGATCTGGTGACACAAAGCTTGATTTAAAAAAAACAACCACTTTTTTCACTGTTATATATTGAATAGCAGTCAGTGTCCTTAAAGCGGGTGTGTTACGCTAACAGTGGATACGGTGACCATTGCCACCACTTAGATCTGGTGACACAAAGCTTGATTTAAAAAACAACCACTTTTTTCACTGTTATAGATTGAATAGCAGTCAGTGTCCTTAAAGCGGGTGTGTTACGCTAACAGTGGATACGGTGACCATTGCCACCACTTAGATCTGGTGACACAAAGCTTGTATTTAAAAAAAAACCAACCACTTTTTTCACTGTTATAGATTGAATAGCAGTCAGTGTCCTTAAAGCGGGTGTGTTACGCTAACAGTGGATACGGTGACCATTGCCACCACTTAGATCTGGTGACACAAAGCTTGGATTTAAAAACAAAAAACACTTTTTTCACTGTTATAGATTGAATAGCAGTCAGTGTCCTTAAAGCGGGTGTGTTACGCTAACAGTGGATACGGTGACCATTGCCACACTTAGATCTGGTGACACAAAGCTTGGATTTAAAACAACCACTTTTTTCACTGTTATATATTGAATAGCAGTCAGTCCTTAAAGCTGGTGTTACTAACAGTGGATACGGTGACCATTGCCACCACTTAGATCTGGTGAACAAAGCTTGATTTAAAAACAAAAAACACTTTTTTCACTGTTATAGATTGAATAGCAGTCAGTGTCCTTAAAGCGGGTGTGTTACGCTAACAGTGGATACGGTGACCAGTGCCACCACTTAGATCTGGTGACACAAAGCTTGTATTTAAAAACAACAAACACCTTTTTCACTGTTATAGATTGAATAGCAGTCAGTGTCCTTAAAGCGGGTGTGTTACGCTAACAGTGGATACGGTGACCATTGCCACCACTTTGATCTGGTGACACAAAGCTTGTATTTAAAAAAAAACAACCACTTTTTTCACTGTTATAGATTGAATAGCAGTCAGTGTCCTTAAAGCGGGTGTGTTACGCTAACAGTGGATACGGTGACCAGTGCCACCACTTAGATCTGGTGACACAAAGCTTGTATTTAAAAACAAAAAACACTTTTTCCACTGTTATAGATTGAATAGCAGTCAGTGTCCTTAAAGCGGGTGTGTTACGCTAACAGTGGATGCGGTGACCATTGCCACCACTTAGATCTGGTGACACAAAGCTTGTATTTAAAAACAAAAAACACTTTTTTCACTGTTATAGATTGAATAGCAGTCAGTGTCCTTAAAGCGGGTGTGTTACGCTAACAGTGGATACGGTGACCAGTGCCACCACTTAGATCTGGTGACACAAAGCTTGTATTTAAAAAACAACAAACACTTTTTTCACTGTTATAGATTCAATAGCAGTCAGTGTCCTTAAAGCGGGTGTGTTATGCTAACAGTGGATACGGTGACCAGTGCCACCACTTAGATCTGGTGACACAAAGCTTGTATTTAAAAACAAAAAACACTTTTT